ATCTGTGTCTTAATCCATCTGAGTTCTCCAACACATACTGATACTGCTATCAAAGCACTTGTCAACATGGTAAAACAATTTACTATTGATTTGACTCGCACAGTTCATGCAACAAACTGTGAACTTTCTGAAAGCAGAAAACATAATGTTATCTATGTATCTTCAGAGTCTTGGACATACATGGCACTTAGTAAAAGGTCGATAATAATATGAATATGTAATTATAGTTAATAAGAAATATATACAAAACAAAATTTTAAACTTAAGGACTATTTACAAAACGGACAGTTTTGAAAGCCGGAAGAAGTGTTGTACAACACAAAACTGGAAACTGAGAAAGGGCAAATTTAACTGATTAATACCTAAAACTTGGGAGTTAATTTCATTGTCAGAACAAGTAATTTCTTGTCTGCCAAGACATCAAAATTTCCAAGACATTAGAAAAACCAAAAGAAAAAAAGAGCTCTCTTTATCAACTATGAAATTACTTAATTAAAATTGTACAATTTACAAATAGTATTTGAGGGCAAATAAAGTACTTAACTTTTAAGTGTTCACAACGCTATAAAACTTAGAAGATATACAAGTCAAAATACTTCATAATTCATAAAGTCTTTCAAGTTCATTTCACATGGGGACCAATTATACCCACTTTTAAGGTCTCCTTTAATGTTTTAGCTTCAAGCAGTATGTTCATTCTTTCCAATAAAAGAACCCTTACCTTTTACAGTATGCACTACTTTTTGCAATCAGTTCTGATCTTTAGAGAAGTTGGAATGAGATATATAGTGTGAAATCTAATTAGTTCTTTTAAATCTTGATAATGGGAACCTCATACTTTCTCAGAAAGCACATATGTTACCAACATCTCAAAAGCTAAAGAGCCTTTTGTAATTAGAAAATTCTTTTCATGTTACAACTTGGTTTTGCAAAATTAAAGATGCTATGCTAAAAAGATGGGAACCAGGAGAAAGTACCAAAGAATGAGCATTAGTTTACCTCAAAAATAATGCAATTACCTATTTTAGAACATAAATCAGTTTTTCCAACTCATCCTTGTTTCTTTCAACCTTCACTGACTGCAATTACATTTCAGAACACTCTATATAAAGTTCAAGCATTCCATAGGTCACCTTGTGACTTAGAAATTTTTCAGCTCTTAAAAGTCAGTGTAAACAGAGCTAGAAAAATACAAAAATTTAACTAGTATAATGTCAGAGAAAATATTTTCAGGAAGATTTACATGGCCTAACTTTGATGTGGTATAACTAGCAGACAAAACAAAATTCAAAATTCAAAAAACAAAATTTTTATAATTCAGCCTATGGAAGATTTAGCCTTAAATTATAATATGCCAATACATAATATAAAATGCATGAAGCAAAGTCTAACAATAAGCAAAAAAACAACCAATTTAGTATCTGCAGTTTCTCAAGTACATGAAAGTACTTAAAATAACACTCTGCTGCGAAATTACAGCTAATTTCTAATTTATATACAACAAAATATTTACCAATTCCCTACTAGTCTTATTAGGAAATGTCAAAGTGTTTAGTCTATATCTAAATTTCCTCTCCTAACAGAAGTGATATTTTATAAAGTAATTCAAGAACACTTCCACCAAGGCCAAAACATAAACCTCAGAACTCACTGTAGGATTTATGGGTCAATCTGTTTGGTTTTACTGTGTTTTGTTGTGGGGGGAGGCGAGCTACTTTTGTTTTGGTTTTTTGATTATAAACATAGATTTTATGTTTTCATACATGAATGATACATAAATGATACATGAATAATAGAGTAAACTGAATTCTAAAGATATTTTTGACTTCCAAAAAAATACTCATCTTTCTATCTACACACAGAAGTTAAGGTATATTTTTAATCAATAATACAACAGTTTATTTTTATATTTAAATATCTCACTAGAAAAAAAATCAAAAGTTAAATTGTTTAAAGAACACAAGTCTTACCGAAATATTAAATTACACAACAGATATTGATAATCCAGCATATTTTCAAAACAAATAGGACTGCCTGGATAACAAAGAAATTCAGTATTATTTACCTTTCCCCCACATGGGTAAGGCATGTCAAAAAATATACAAGCAAAGGGGGCGCCTGGCCGGCTCAGTCAGAAGAGCATGCAACTCTTGATCTTGAAGTTTTGAGTTCAAGCCCCATGCTGGGTGTAGAGATTACTTTAAAAAATCAAATTAAATTAAACACACACACACACACAAACACACACGCGCGTGCACGCGCACACACACATTCCCCCAGCAACTATTCAGAAGGCATCTGTAGAAGATCCCACAGAATTCTAGTTTACTCTAGTTTATGACTCTCTAACATGGGACAAGTCCTGTCCCAAGTTATTAAAGAAACAGTTAATACTTTAAACGCACAATTCCATCAATATAACACAAGAATTTATAATTTTGATGTACTTTTTGTTTCAAATTTCTGACTGGTCTGTAATTCACAAGTTGTTGCACATGTCTGGCTACAATTATCAAAACACAGCTCTCATCGACTTTCTGAATATGGTAGTTTAAAAACTTTTTTAAAAATCTAGCTGCAAGCTATTAATGTATCTCTTAATATCACTCTTTTATTCCCAACAACTTTTAACAAGAGAAAAACACTTGAAAACTGTATTAACAATGAGAGATTAATAAGCAAATGCCAACCTGAGAGTAATGTAGTTGTTTCTTCAAAACCTAAACAAACACCCTAAGAAAAAGTAGTCATCTTAGATAGGCTAGGTCCACCTCTCCAAACTCTGTGGCATTTCAAGAATACAGTTTTATGTTAGGTTTGTATTATACTTAAGCCATTTGAAAGTTACAAACCTTAAGGCCTTTACTTGTCTAAGATCTATTTTTCAAATGTATATTCATAATTAAATAAAAGCTTCAATGTACCTTATGTCAAATAGGTATTTAGAAGATTTATCATATTCAATCTAAATTCCACAGGTAGGGAATGGTTTTATATATATTTCATATATATGTAATTTCTAAAAATTCTTGTCACTGTCACACAGAAAGTCTTCAGCACTTGACAAATTCAAAATATAAATGTATGAATGTTACAGACTGTACCCAATAGCTAAGTTTCTTCAAATACATATTAACAGTTTTAAGAGCTATGGCATGGAAGGGCCAGTGTAGAAATCAGTACACTAATAAACTGAGGTCTTTAAAATAAGATAATTTTTCAGTGTTAATGCTACATATAAATACAAAAATATTTGGTTACACAAGTATACCCTAGGATTCTGGAAAACAAAAACTTTAAGTTTTAGATACAGTAATTCCTCTCAGTAGATACCAGAAGCTGACATTTATGAAGAAGTATACAAAATTGCACAGGTGAAAGCTATAGACTGAAGCAAATACTATACAGTACATATCTACAACCCAATTTTGCTTCAGCATCCCCAGAGACTTAAAAAATATTTCTTTGGGTAGGTTGCAAAACATTGCTTCCTCTTTTATTCTCATCACCCCCATTATGATACAAAGCGACAGACAAGAAAATCAAATCACCAACTGTAAGGGCTGAAAGCTTCGAAACACATAAAAATGCATCTTCTTTCCACTCCCGAATCGGTATTCATTCCACCTGTTTGTAAATCCACACAAACACAATAACACAATACCTCTGCTGATTTAAGAACGGGGGGGGGGAGGGGGCAATTAAGGGTTTGAAGTCATTCTTCTTCTACCTAGGCTGGGGCGGGGGAGGGGGATGGTACAAAACAATGGATACTGAGGGGCTGGGGGAAAATCGCTTGCTCCCGAAGCCTCCAGCGTTAAAAGCTTGGGGGGTGGAGGGGGGGCGGGGGGAGGACGAGAGGAGATAGAGTACTTTTCCTCTATTCCTAAAAGCTACCGCGGAAACAGGCTGCCACCAAGCAAGTCCAACAGGGCGGTCCTGGATGCCCACAACTCGCCTCACCAGGCAACAGACCCAAAGCCAACTCGCCACTCTTCACCGAAACGACAGAAGGGGAGAGAGTGGTGGGCTTTGGGGAAGGGCGAGGAAATACCCCACCCCGCACCACTAGCGCTGCGCCAAGGCCCCGACCAACGATTTACACGCCTCCCGGACGCCCACGGGGGCGCCCCGCAGCCTGAGCCAGGTGCCCCCCGGGGGTAGAGCGGAGCAGGGCCATCCACCGGGCGCCCCCGGCCCGCGCCCTCTCGCCGACTCGCCCCCGCCTACGAGCTGCCCCGGCCGCCCGCCGCCACTGCAGGCCCGGCCCCGGCCGCTGTCAGAGCCGCCCGGCTCACTCTCGGAGACCGGCTGCGGGCCCCGCACGAGAGCCGACTCCGAGGGCCGGGCCCTCCCTGCGACAGGACCCAGGAAAGAGGCGGCGGCGGCGGCGCCTCCCAGGGCCCCAGCCCCTCGGGCCTCGCCCCGGCCCCGCCGGCTCTATCCCCTCAGGGCGCGCGGGGCCTCCCCCAATCGACAGCCAGCTGGGCCGCCCGACGGGTAGGAACGAAAGCAGGAAGAACCCACCAACAACCACCCTCCCGCCTCAGCGGCCCGGGGTTACCGTCAGGAGCCCCAACTCCGCCATCCTCCTCGCTCGCCCTCCTTCCTCCTCCTCCTTAGAAGCGACGCTGCCCAACCGCCGCCCCCCGCCCGCCCCTCCCCCACTTGCCCCGCCCCGCCCCGCCCGCCCCTCCACACACTCTCACTCCTACGGCCCCGCCCCACCCCTCCGGCTCAGGCCCTTCACTCGCCGGAGAAGAAAAACAGGCGGAGCCAAGCATACTGACGCTGCCCAATCAGAGTGAGGCACTGGCGCCAAAGACGCTGCCCAATCAGAGTGAGACATTGGAGCCAGCTTCCCTCGCTCCGCCCTTTTCCTTTCCTCGGCTGCTCTACGCCCTCTCCCGCCCACTGGGCGCCGCTGGCAAGCCGAGCCACAGAGTAAGCCTCCAACAGGGTAGAGTGACAACTTGCAATCGGAAGTTACTGTTGAAGCCAAAGCAGCCATAACTGATAATGGCAGGGAGTTTCCTGGCCTCCCGTCTCCAGTGTGACGTAGTTTTCCCTTCGCCCAAATCTCACCGTTGCCCTGGGCAACAGTCGAGCCGTCTGGGAAGATAAATCTGTAAGTAGGCCCGGAAAAGGACCAAAGGTGACCAGACATCCCAGGTTAGACAACTTAATTCATATTTAGAACTACCTGCCCGGGATGGGGAAGAGGAAGGAGCAGGTTTCCTGGCCCTTATTTTGCTGGGACGTCTGGTCACTTACCTAGGTGGACAAAAGGTTAGGGTTCCGAAAATCCCTGTCCTGCCCGGAAGTTGCATTTGGCACTTCTGAATGGGGTCATGGCGGAAGGGTGGGAATAGCCAGAGACCCCGGCACCACCGGGAGTGCCCATTCCAGCTGGAGTCGCAAAGTGAGATGTGGGTCCGTCTGCCTTGTCCGGTGAGGCAGCCCACAGCTAGACGGCCGGTGGGAGACGGAGAGCGAGGGGGTGAGCAGGGCTCACAGCCGCTTCCGCTGGAAGAAGGTTTTCTTTCCGGGCTGGCCTGCCCGCCCTACCCCCGCCCCTCTGAGGTTCCCTGTGGGGCGAGGCCGCTCCACCGGCCCTTCGCGCCCAGCTGCAGCCAGCCGCGTAAGGAGGGGGCTTAGGCTCGCACAGCAGGGCACTCCCGCAAGATGGAGCTCCTGACCTCGCCCCTTAAGTTCCTATTAAGTGCTTCCACCCTGATCTTTGGAGGACTGAGAATTCTGGAGCTTGAGGAAATCGTTTTCCATTGCTACCTAGAAAGGAAGGAGGTGGTCCTGCACTGCAGCGGCAACACTTCTAAGTCTTACTTCCCCGCCTCTTTTCTTAACATTACGTTATTCCTTTTGTTTCTCCTTTGGGGGCTTAAAACCAATGACTGCGGTGCTGGCTGAAGCTCTACCGTCCTAAACCTCCACGCCTACGTTTTATTAAACAACATAATGCCTGTGAATATTCATAAAAGTACCGTAAGACTTTTATATGGTTCTTTTCAAGAGTTGTTACACTTTATCTCATGTAGTTCCTTCTGTAGGCTGAGTCAAGAACTGTAAGTCATCTTGGTCATCCTGGGTTGGATGCCTAACGTTGCCAGAAAAAAGACCAGGAGAACTTTCAGGTAAATTGAAAATTGTATTTACCCAGCCAGTCAACAAGCGTGCAAACCTAACTTCTTTACTTAATTTCTTTTTACTTCCATACTACTCATGCTGTATTCAAAATGAACTATTCTTGTTTCTTCCAAGATTAATCATTGAAGCACTAGCCTTTCATGACTCTTGTTTCCATGTCCTAGTTATCCTTGGAGATGTGTTTCCAGATTCTCTCCAACAGGAAGTAATTTCCTCTGTGCTTACCTAGCATTTTTTGTACTTCTTTTATGACAACCACTATTTTATGTATAACAGCTGCTTATGTTCTTAGCTTTACTATGTTTACATCTAAATAGAATGGTTTGCCTATTAGGTGGATCTATTCTCCCTATCATGTTATTCTGCTCTTGATATTATTTTGGTAAATACTTTCTAAAAAACTGAATATATTTCGTGTTTCCCAGGTGCCTGAGACATTGCCAGCTTCAGTTGATTAAATTCAGTGTAATTCTTGTTACTCAACCTTTTCTTAGATTTCCCTTCTGAAGTCTTTCCAACATGATTTCTTCCCTCAATTAAAAAAAATCATACATAAAAAAGTCGAAATAATACAAAAAGGGCGTTCTTATACCCTTCACCTAGATCCAGCAGTTAACATTTTGCCATATTTATTTCATCCCTTTTCATGCTTTTTTCATTGTCATTAAACTATTCGGTAACAGGTTAGACACTTGTTAAGCAGACACCTCTAAAATTTCCAAAATGTATTCCCCAAGAATTATAAAGTTCTGCTGCAAAACATAGTATCATTATCACAACTAAGGAAATTACTAATTCTGTGTTATTTAAAATCTAGTCTGTATGTGTATTCTCTCATTTGACCCAAGAATATCTTTTATACCTTTTCCCCTGCTCCTCCAACAAAACTTAGGATCCAGTCAATGTTTATGTCATTGTCATTTTAAAGAGTTCAGGCCAGAAGTATTTTCAGTGTTTCCTTTTTTCTTATTCCTTATAAGTCTTAATGTATTTTGCAAGAATATTCACAGCATTCATACTTCGCCAATCATGATTACGCCTTCTCAAAAATAACTGTAACTACCATTGTTATGCGTTGTTAGTTAAATCCATCCCACTTCTCTGCACACACAGCCTTCTATGGTATCCTACAACGGAGAGTTTAATATTTAATCCTCCTGTCTGTGGAGAGTAAGTGCCAGTGTCCTGGACTGATTGTCTCCCTGTAGTAAAGTGTTGCTGCTACTTCGCCAGCACTTGGAGCTGATGTGATATAATCTGCAGCAGTGTACTGATGTCAGCACAGTTTCAGGAGTGTCAACTCCTGGCACCCTGAGGACTGTTGATGAAAGATGTGTGGGCCCTGCAATTCGAATACAGATGAATCTTGATGTTATCAAAGCAGATACCAAGGCAACTGCTGGCCATCTGGTATTTTGTGTGAGTAGGATGTGTCATTTTCTATTAACTTAATAGTAGTGTCTGCTGGTGAAGTATACCAGAACCGGTGGCATCATCCAAATTCATCCAAGAAGAACAGTTCCTGTTCTTAGGCCTAGGCACAGTTCAGAAGCTAGACACTGCACATTTTATTCACATGAGTCTAAATTAATTAGCCAAATTGAACATGTTGCAACATTTTTCTGCTAGCAGATGCCAGATAGCAAAACAGAATAGAACTACTATAGTTTCTAGCCACATGACATATGATGCTATTTGGCATCTTCAGATGAATATTATCAGTCCAAATTAAGCTCAGCTAGCATGTGGGCAGCCACTTGGGTGAGAATGAACATTACTACTTTATGTCTGCTGAAAAACACTTTCTTTTTAGGCCCCCTCCTTCACCTTTTCTTCATGGTAGTTTACATTCAGAAATCTAATACACATTTGAAAATTCACCTGTTAATCATAAGTCTTGAATAAAACAAAATGTTTCATATTTTTCCTACCATTCCTGCCACCCCCATCCACAACCTGTAATAGGCAGATTGAATTTACTTAAAAGGATCTAAATTAGTAAATACTCACCAAAAAATATCCTTTGTTGTTCTTTACATAAACAGATTGCTTCTGGTACCTCCCTTAGTTCTCAAAGATTGTATTTTTGTTTCTTAATATCTATTAATGATAAAACAGGGCATTTGGCATTTGGTGTATTATAGTGGTTCTGTATTCTACTTAAGTTGTGAAGTCAAGGGTCTTTAGCAGTGGGAATAGTAAGGGAAAAGGAACAATAGGCAGTAAAGGGGACTACACAACTCCCCATGTTCATCTAAATGGGACATTACTTCCCAGCTCTAGCCAGATTTTGCCATGCAAGAATATGGGCCCAGTGTTGCCGGATCTGTCAAGAGGAGCAGATTTGGACTTGATGTGAAACCTTCCCATTTTAAAACATTGGTTCAAATACTTTTTAAACATTTAGCAAGCCAGCAAAAATTTAGCTGCCAGAAGTTTATCACCCGTGTTTCTTATGTGAAAATAGTATTGATATTAGATTAGAATCTGAAAATACGTTTTTTGCCCCCAAAAATTTTTGCCATATTTCAGGTGCATTTATTTTTCTAGGTTAGGCAACAAGCCATTTGTCACCTCCATTAAAAATTCAAAATAGATTCTTATGTACACTAAGCTTCCATTCCCTCAGAATTTTAAACATTTTTACTCTTTACTACCAGCTTAAAAACTTATCCACATTTTCTCAGCCTTGAATTATATTATGAAATAGATTTGCTTTATCATATTTTCTTAGAAATATATTTAAGAGGGGTGCCTCGGTGGCACAGTTAGTCAAACATCCAACTCTTGGTTCAGCTGGACTTGTGAGATTGAGCCCCCACATCAGTCCCCACACTCATAGAGGAGTCTGCTTAAGATTCTCTTCTGCAGGGGCGCCTGGGTGGCTCAGTCAGTTAAGCATCTGCCTTCGGCTCAGGTCATAATCCCAAAGTCCTAGGATCGAGCCCCATGTTGGGCTCTCTGCTCAGTGGGAGCCTGCTGCTCCCCCTGCTTGTACTCTCACTCTCTAATAAATAAATAAAATCTTTTAAAAAAAGATTACCTTCTCCTTCTGCCCCTCCCTACTTCCGTGCATGCATGTGCACTCCCCCTCTTTCAAATAAATAAATAAATCTTTTAAAAGCGTATTTTTCAAGAGCACAGTTTGGCAGCACATGCTTTTTAAAAGTAAATAAATATGACAGGTTTTTAAAGGAAAACATCTTTCAATAGTTCATGCTGTCTTACAGGTACTATAATGTTGGTAAAGAGTCAAAGAATTTTTAGAGTCAAAGGTACTTAATGGGAAATCTAGAACAGTCTGCTCTCATATCCTTATTTTATTTTTTTAAAGATTTTATTTATTTGACACCGAGAGAGAGATCACAGTAGGCAAAGAAGCAGGCAGAGTGGGAGGGGGAAGCAGACCCCCTGCTGAGCAGAGAGCCAGATGTGGGGCTTGATCCCAGGATCCTGGGATCATGACCTGAGCCAAAGGCAGAGGCTTAACCCACTGAGCCACCCAGGAGCCCCTATCATATCCTTATTTTACAGTGATACGAAAATTAAACCTGGAATAATAAATGTCACACTATATTTCTAAGCATTTTTACATCCACTTTTTACTTGAACCTTGCAGCCCAGGACAGATACTAAACATGCTTTTTATGAGAAAATCAAACCTGGAATTGGTTAAGAAATGTATTCAGGGTCATGCTAGCTAGCAATAGAGCTAGAGTACAACCCTGTATCCCATTTCAAGTATAATGTGAAATAGATGAATCCAAAAAGAAAAAGAAAAAAAACCCTCCAATACAAGTTTCTGTTTTAAATCATACATTAGAGGGATGCCTGGGTGGCTCAGTCGGTTAAGCGGCTGCCTTTGGCTCAGGTCATGATCTCAGGGTTCTGGGATCAAGTCCCACGTCGGGCTCCTTGCTCCGCAGGGAGCCTGCTTCTCCCTCTGCCTCTACCTGCCACTCTGCTTGCCTGTACTCTCTCTATCTCTCTGACAAATAAATAAATAAAATCTTAAAAAATAAATAAATAAATCATACATTAGATTTTACTATCACAGCTTGTTTAAAATACTTGGAATCCTAGAATACTCTGAAGCATTCAATTTCAAATTTTAAAAATGGAGTTTTGTACAATTAGGATAAGCTGATAAGTTTAATATAAATTGGGGTGCCTGGGTGACTCAGTTGGTTAAGCAACTGCTTTTGGCTCAGGTCATGATTTCAGGGTCCTAGGATAGAGTACCACATTGGATTCCCTTCTCCACGGGGAATCTACTACTCCCTCTGCCCTCCACCCCGCTTGTGTGTGCTTTCTTTCTCAATCTCACTCTCCTCTCTCTCCCTAAAATAAATACATAAAATCTCTCTCTTAAGTTTAAGATAAATTAGTGGAGGGGAAAAAGAATTATGGTGAAGAGCTAACAGCAAATTAGGAGTGGTAGGCACATATGGAAGATAACCACACTGACCCACAAAATGGCTCCATGGGGCTCCTAACAAAGACCAAATATTGGATTAAGACTTCAGTATGACCTAGGAGGACAGTTTTAAAAACATCCAAATCCTGTCCCAAACATTTTTAGAAACAAAGGCTTGGCATTGACATTCACAGTATGTTTCATTTTGATACTTTTTTTTTTTTAAGTTTGTATTTTTATAAGTAATCTCTACACTCAGTATGGGGCTCAAACTCAAAACTCCAAGACCAAGAGTTGCATGCTCTAATGACTGAGCCAGCCAGGTGTCCCTCATTTTGATACTTCTTATCCGTATGGCTATGCTTTGAGTTACCATGAATGCAATTTGGACTTTAGTAATCGATCCCCCTTCTCTGTCTGTCCCCTCTAAGATTATAGCCTACGTTTTCCAGATGGCTAGGTGAAAATAGTGTACCATCTAAAGCTAACAGTCTTTTTCGGCTGTTTGACCCACATTATTGGTCTTATCAGTGTTCTCATATCTAATCTGTGAGAGGAAAAAATGCAAAA